GGAGCGAAAAAGCTGTAGTATGGTAATTTTTCAATCAAAGCCATTCATACGAGACGACAATGCGCTATGTGCTCAAATCTCAGAAGCACGGGAACAACGTTACACAGGAAATAGAGAATTGGAGTTTGAAGGTTGATTTTGAAGGTTCCACCAATCAATAAGCTAAGGAACTGCATTAGCAAGCTTAAGAAACAAGATATCCATAAAGAATAAGAGATTAGATTTTTTTACGGAAGAAAACTGAATTCACTACAATTTTAGATGTCTGTTGTAACATAGGATAAAAGCACTTACAGCATGTCGTAAGCCGCATCACTGCTTCCAATGTAATCAAAAGATTCCTTAAATGAAGCATGATGTACACTCAAACAAATCTTTTGCAACGTACCCCATCAAAGAAAGCGACGATAACATGACGGTCAGATGCATTAGCTGCCCTTTCAAAAACTTCCAGATGCTGTCCAATGGCTCGTGTAGTCGCTAAGAGGGCAATAACAGATGTAAGCACACTGATTTCGCCAGCTGAGACCTCCGGAATAATACCAAAACTATCCAACTGCAAAATTTTCAATCATATAGATGTAGGAGATAGCAACTGCATAGCGCAATGTGGTAAACGCACCCGCGCACAAAGCATCAGATATCTCGTCGAATGAGCTGCAGTTCCGTTGTAAACTTTGGGTGGTAAATAAGCCATAACGTTTACGCCAGTAAGAGGAGTACATAGATCACTGAAAAAGGATCCATATTTTCACCAGAAGCAACAGACGACAACTAGACACTACTCCTTATTCTCGATCGTGAGATCTAGCAACCGTGACCAAGGCTGACTTCTCCTATGACATATTTCGCTCGAACCCGCAGCCGTGCTGAAAACTCCAAAAGAAGCAGCACAAAAAGGAAACGACACAGACGATGCACCACCGGTGGGAACATTGAACAGGTCGTGACACTAAAATGACGTCGTATGCGCATGCGCAAAACATCATGAAAAATCACAGAACATAGTACGTTCTACATGCCTGGATTATTTCTTTTCTAGTTTCACAGCACAACTAACGAACGACCAAAAATGCAATTTTATACATAAGCGGCCGTCTTACCTTTTTTATGGCGTCTATATGTGTACTGTTGAACAGATACAATATCTGCATTTTCCAGTCGATATTTCTCAGGCCTTCAGGCAAGATATAACCTTCATTCCACACAGATTGACATCCTTCATGGTAGATACCTAAACATCTAATGTCCATGGAGTTTTGCATCCAGCTATCAGCCTATACATATATGCCCAAAACTTCGGGCTACTCTCTTGTTCACGCGCACACATATCTCGCCAACTTCTTCCCACTCATTGACTTTTGCACTGCCAATAACTGTTTTACTTACCACTTCTAGGATTTGGACAGGCACCGTCATGTGATAAAGCTTCACTGGGATCTAACTTCGACTCAGGATCGACTATCATCAGACCTGCTATACAATTTGATGCCAGAATATCATGAACGAGTGATCTGAATGGCTAACCATTGTATACTACAAAGGACCGAACTGCTTGCGACCTCACCTATCGATCATGTCCACAGAAAGAAGAACATGGTATTTGCCTTTATAATCACGAAATCGACTCCTCCAGCAGTCGAGCAAACCCGCTCTTTCACCTTTTTTCATCATAACAACGACTCCACGAGAGTCCGCTTTTGAACATGAAAAAAGATCAATCGTTCTATCCATAAAGATTGCGAAAATCACTCACTATGGAATCCAAATTGATGTGTGCCATTGAAAATTCTATAACCTGCTACACCTTCCGCCACAGGTAGTTTGACGTATATATCATCAGATAAACCCTCTCCACTGCACAAACTGAGGGCTGAAAATTACTATCTCACTTGAAATGGCTAGCACTAATTTACCATGGGTTGCTCACCTGCGAACAGTAGCAGTGACTGAAAAAAGTACATCCTAAGCGAAAACTTTTTATCTAACACATTCTGAAACGTAGGTACTAATTAGTTACATAAAATACAAGAAAAAATCGTGACGCCGAGCAATATATTTCGGAAGATTGATTGGAGTATGCCAACCTTTGCGAGGGCAGGATTAACCAGTTAAATTCTCGTGCACCTCCCTTCCGGAGAAGTTCTTTGCTGAAAACAGTTAAAGAACTTAACAATAAACCATATGCACATTTTTAGAGCTCTACGCCTTTTCAATACTTTAGTGATTCATTTTCCCTGCCCTCCCCCTCTCCCTCAGCCCCTCTCTCACTGAATAGATGTTCCACGACCACAACCTCGATTTTTTCTGGCATGATCCAGTACCACAATAAACACAGGTGGAATGTGCGCTTCAAAATGTGGCGCAATCTAGTATGAAAGCGAACAAGTTGCTTCACTACAGTATTCTCGTTGATTCTGCCATGAACATTATGAGAAGTGGTAAAAGACTGCAGGCTACATGAAGAAAAATGCACTGCACTGACTCACATTTTTGATTTGAAAATCCAAAGATCGCACAGTATAAATTGAACTGACTATGCAACTCGCAAACAAAATGCATTAGAAAATTTATTATAATATCTAATAAGACTGGTGAAACCACGCATCGTAGGCGGATAACAATCCCCTCATTGTAAAACAAGAAATGTTTAGAATAACAACTTCCTCATTCTAGAACAACAACAACAAAAAAACGATTAGTCACGCACGTCACTTGGGCTTGTAGTCGTGGCCGGTTTTCTCCTTGTACAACTTCTTTAGCTCGAGAAGTTTAGCTATAGCGGCTTTTGAAGCTTCCTGAACATTAGCGGTAATATCTGATACAATCACGTCAGAACAATATGTTTACCGATTTTGCATCCTTTGCCTTTTCACTACGTACAAGCTCTCCTTGAGCATGGATCTGATCGTAAAGGGTAGCAGCATCGTCACTGGTAACGTCAGCAGTATTCGACGGACTTCCCTCAGGTTTTTGCCCTGGTTTATAATCCTGCCCGGTGATCTCTTTATACTGTTTTTTCAGTTCCAGCAGTTTAGCAATGGCGGTTTTCGATGCTTCCTTAAACAAAGATTAAGAAGTAAAGAATGAATAAAATATCAATTTGGCAGAACCAAATGACTATAAAGTTACCGATTTTGCATCCTTCGCTTTCTCACTTCGAACAAGATCTCCTTGGGCCTCTATTTCCGCATACAAAGCAGATGCATTTGATGGGGTTGAAGCAGATGCTTGAGATTTCGTAGGAGGCGTCTGTCCAGGCTTGTAATCTAGCCCTGTTATTTCCTTATAATTTTGTTTGAGCTCTAGTAATTTTGCGATGGCTGCTTTTGCTGCCGCCTGCAAATACAAGTTGCAAGTTCTTATATGCAACCTTTATGCTTATACCGATTTCGCGTCCTTGGCTTTCTCTTGCCTAGTCAACTCTCCTTGTGCTTCGATCTCAGAGCATAGTGCTTGCACGTCAGATGGAACTTTGGCAACAGAAGGAGCAGAAGCTGCTTCCGGGACGTAATCCTTGCCAGCCTTCTCCTTGTATTGTTTTTTCAGATCCAGCAGTTTAGCTATCGCAGCCTTTGTCAATGCCTGAAATGTAGCACATACGTCTACAATCGTAGGAGAATAGCATAGAAGCGTTAACTAACTGATTTAGGATCCTTAGCCTTCTCACTTCGTACGATTTCGCCTTG